GCGCCCGCGCATGATCAAGATTTTGGTGCAAAGTGCACTTGGTATGTTTTTGTTGCACGGAATGGTTGGGAGGTGCTGGCGTTGCACACAGCAGGCAATATGCCGCCCCCCCCCCCCCGCCGCCCCTGCCAGAAAACAATGCGAAGTGATCGCGGGGCGTCCTCACATGATTCAGCTTGTGCATAAAGTACACTTTGTATAGCTGTTCGACAGGGATAGCGGGGGGGGACCCGCATGGTTCTGGGTTTGTTGTCAATCGGGTAAGGGAGGGGGCGCGCTCATCAGGAACAGTGATCAAGTTCCCAGCGAGAATCCCGCAAGCTGTCTCGCTCAGCATAGGCAGAGGCGGTGGTGGTGTATGAAAACTGGCCTCGCACATCGAGAACCAATGCAGACGCCAGCCAGGTGCGCGAACCCGTGAGGTGCGCCGCATATGCCAGCTGCGCCTCGCGCTCTAAGTGCGCCAAATTGGGCAATATGTCGACCCCCCTCCCATCCCTGCCATAAACAGATGCAAAGCGACGGCGGATTCGCGAGCACTTTCTACTGTGTGTGGGCGTGCACACGCAATCCTTTGCACTTGTTTTTGACAGGGATCGTGGGCTTGGACAGATAAGGGAGTATGCCGACCCCGCCCCAGCCTTCCCTGGCAAAGGGAGTTTTGAATTTTCTGTTGGGACGTATGGTGGGCCCGCTCACAGCAGGCAATTCGCTGGCCCCCCCGCCGTCCCTTATCAAAACAATTGCGAATTGATCGCGGGGCGGCCGCGCATGATCTACGTGCTGCTGCAAAGTGTGCTTGTACGTCTTCTTTCGAAAATGGTTGGAGGGGTGTTGGCGCTGCGCGGCAAGCAATCTGCCGGCCCGCCTGCCGTCCGTGCCAAAAATCAATGCGATTCGATCGTTGGGCGTCCACGCATGATTCAGATTATGGTACCAAGTGCACCTCGTTTTGTTTTTGCAGGGATGAGGGGGATGTTGATGGCACTGTACACTGCGGGCAATATGGGGGCACCGCCGCCGTCCCTGCCAAAAACCATGCGAAGTGCTCGCGGTGCGTCCGCGCGTGATCCAGATTCTGGTGCAAAGTGATATGTTTTTTTTGGTTTTTGCCAGGGGCAGTGGTGGAGTGATGGCATTGTCCAAGGCTTGTCGCCAGTCGGGTGGGGGAGGAGAGCAGTGATCAAGTTGCCCCAAGCCAGAAGCCGTGTCGTTCACTCCCACCCGCCCTCCCAACACATAGGCAGCATCCGAGCTTGGGAGCCCGATCCCATTGAGTTCATGAGCAGGCAATATGAGGGCGCCCCCGCCGTCTCTGCCAGAAACCAATGGAGTGATCGTGGGGCGCCCGCGCATGATCCAGATTTGGCCACAAAGTTCATTTTGTATGGGCTATTTGTCCGGGATCGTGAGACTGCACAAAGTAGTAAATATGAGTGCACCCCCCCGCCCACCACCTTTGGCAAAAGCCAAGGCAAAAGGATCGAGGGGCTCCCGCGCATGAGCCAGCTTTTGCCACATAGTGCATTTTGCATTGTGTGTTGACAGAGATGGTGGGTCTGCACAGAGCGGACATTTCGAGGGCACCGCCGCCGTCCCTGTGTAACGCAGTGCGAAGTGATCGGGGGGAACCCGCGCACGGTCAAGATTTTGCCGCACGGTGTTTTTGCAGTGTGTTTTGACAGGGGTGGTAGGCTTGCACAGAGCGGACAATATGAGGGCACCCCCGCCGGCGTTGTCAAATCATCACTGCAAGAGGCTCACGGGGCGCCTGCGCCCGGTCCAGATTGTAAAGGCCTCACGGCCGGTGCCGCCGACCCTGAAGGGGAGGCGGAGGCGTTTGCGAGATACGTAAGGAGTCCAAGGGGAAAGCTTCCGCCAGGGAAGGGTGCTCCCCCACGAGGGGGGGGGGTCACAACCCTCCGGCGACCCCCTCTGCCCCCCGCGGGAACACCCCTCTTACCCCCCACCGGGACCCCCCTCCCCTCCAGCGGGGAGGGGATCCAAGGGAAGTGGCTTGGACTCGGTTATGACGTTGCTCGATTTCTCTTTGGCTGGAACGTGGCGCCCGCGCACGGCCCAGATTTTGCCGCAATGTGCATTTTGCATTGTTATTTGACTGGGGTGGCGGGGGGGGGGGGGCGCGTCATCCTGGGTTCTCCCCTGGCCAGGTGGGGGAGGGGGTGTACATCAATAGGTAAGAGTGATCAATCTTTCTCAGGATGGGAAGAAGGGGGGTGAACGAGGAAACCCTCTAAACCTCTCACGCCCCAAAGGGCGGGTGAGATTATGCAGAGGAGCGCACGGGACCTGCGGACACTCCACCGAGTGCCTCGCGGCACGTGGCGGATATTCATACATGGTGTTTTCAAGGTAGTCAAACGAGGGGAATGAGGATATGCAGGCCATTTCCTGGCATCCATCCGTTGTCCCCAGACCCCATCGGGTCGTTAAAAAAGTAAGACCCGCGGTTTCTCATATCTCAGGCCTTGGGCGGCCGCTCTGGACGACCCGGGCAGTCCCGGAGCGCTCTCGGCAAAGCGTGGTTGTTCGAAAGCATCCCGAAGCGAAAAGAAATTGAAGAGCCACCGAGATTCCCCCATACGACAGGTCGGAATTGGGGATCCCGCATCGTGCCTTCGACAAGGAACGATTGCATGCCGCGGCCGCCAGGCCCAAAGGACGCGAGTGCTCCTTGAGGATCCCGCCTAAGCAGTCCGGGTGGGAATCGTTCGAAGCACATACGGATTGTTCACCGCCATTTGGGCTCCTGGGATGGACAATCGGGAAAACGTGAGACTCGGGTTCTCTCTGGAACTCGGGTTTGCATACGCTTTTTGCCGGAGCCCTTCCTGGATGTTTGACAGCGGGAGTTCGCGTCAAATTTCAGATTGGTTCTCGTCAGTGTTCTGACGGCCCTGTCAGGCCAACTTGAGTCCTCCAAATTCGAGTCCTACGCTTCCCCGAAACCGCCGCCCCTCACTAGGGCCCGGGCGTTGCACTTCCAGATCTCCGACGGTGTGTTGTTTGTCAACCAGCGTTTGTTTCCCAACCCTCCTTGGTTGGTTATTCATTTTGGAATAGAGCACTGCGGTCGCGTCTCCCTCCTCCCGCCGCCTCTTCCCGCCTCCTCCCTCCTGCCCTCTCTTCGCCGTCGCTGGGGGGCTGAGATCTGCGAAACTGTCGCCATTTTTGAGGGCTGCTGGTAGGTCCAGCGGAGTGAGGCACCGCGCAGACCTGAGGTAGACCTCGCCGTCCCAGGGGGGCTGCGATCCGCGAAATTGCCGCCACATTCGAGAGCTGCTGGTAGGTCCAGCGGAGTGAGGCACCGCGCAGACTTGAGGTAGACCTCGCCGTCTTTGGGGGGGGGGCTGCGATCCGCGAAATTGTCGCCACTTTCGAGGTGGGTCCAGCGGAGTGAGGCACCGCGCAGACCTAAGGCAGACCTCGCCGTCCCTGGGGGGCTGCGATCTGCGAAATTGTCGCCACTTTCGAGGGCTGCTGGTGGATCCAGCGGAGTGAGGCACCGCGCAGACCTGAGGTAGACCTCGCCGTCCCAGGAGGGCTGCGATCTGCGAAATTGTCGCCACTTTCGAGGGCTGCTGGTGGGTCCCTAAGGCAGACTGCTCGCCGTCCCTGGGGGGCTGCGATCTGCGAAATTGTCGCCACTTTCGAGGGCTGCTGGTGGATCCAGCGGAGTGAGGCACCGCGCAGACCTGAGGTAGACCTCGCCGTCCCAGGAGGGCTGCGATCTGCGAAATTGTCGCCACTTTCGAGGGCTGCTGGTGGGTCCAGCGGAGTGAGGCACCGCGCAGACCTGAGGCAGACCTCGCCGTCCTTGGTGGGCTGCGATCTGCGAAATTGTCGCCACATTCGAGGGCTGCTGGTGGGTCCAGCGGAGTGAGGCACCACGCAGACTTGAGGTAGACCTCGCCGTCTTTGGGAGGCTGCGATCTGCGAAATTGCCGCCACTTTCGAGGGCTGCTGGTGGGTCCGGCGGGGACCTGAGGTAGACCTCGCCGTCCCTGTGGGGCTGTGATCTGCGAAATTGTCGCCACTTTCGAGAGCTGCTGGTGGGTCCAGCGGGGACCTGAGGTAGACCTCGCCGTCTTTGGGGGGCTGCGATCTGCGAAATTGTCGCCACTTTTGAGGGCTGCTGGTAGGTCCAGCGGAGTAAGGCACCGCGCAGACCAGAGGCAGACCTCGCCAACCCTGGGGGTCTGCGATCTGCGAAAGTGTCGCCACTTTCGAAGGCGGCTGGTGGATCCAGCGGAGTGAGGCACCGCGCAGACCTGAGGTCGACCTCGCCGTCCCTGGGGGACTGCGATCTGCGAAATTCTCGCCACGTTCGAGGGCTGCTGGTGGGCTGGCCACTTCCGAAGGCTGCTGATGGGTCCAGCGGGGTGAGGCAGTGCGCGGACTTGAGCGGGACCTCGCCGTCCCTGGGCGGCCATGCCATGTTGTTGCTGCCCCGCCGACGTTTCAAGCCCCTTGCCCGCAGGCTGCTTTTGGACCTTGCGTCTTCCTTAGTGACTCAGGGGTTCACTTAGTTGCTCATCGTTTTTCCCTTGATTGGGGACCTGCGAACCTCCCGAATGCCGCTCGCAAAAGTATATGCGTCCATGTCACGTCGCCGCCTTCTCTTCAAATCTCCCGAGCTACTCCTGCCCCGCATTGCGCAGGGGTTGGATACGTCGCCAGGGTAATTCCTCGAGTTCGGCCCCTGGGGCCCGTTATCGGGCCTCGAGACCATCCGATCTATGTCAGGGGCGAAAGACTGCCCCAGAGGAAGCGGTCGGGACCTCTGGAGCCACGACGTTGAAATAAGGACCCCTTCGGGTTCGGAAGGGGCTCGCTGATCCTTAGACCATTCCGTGGTTGGTCCTCTACCTCCTCGTGCACCCAGGCGCTGGCGCCAAAAGGGGCGCCGTTCCTTGTTTAACGTTCCTTCTGGTAGTACCTCGATTGCACGCCTTTTCGAGAAAAGATGGCGCGCCCAGCGCCGCCGGCTGCAGCCCCGGCGGGTCCCGCGACGAGAGCCCCGCGGGCAGCCCGGCGTTACGCGCGGCGAGGGGCGAGGAGGCTCTCTCCGCGCCACTGCCCGCCGCCCCTCCTCCGGCGGAGGGGATGGGAGGTAGGGAAACGAAGAGGAGAAGGAGCGAGGAGGAGGAGGAACGAACGAGGAGGAGGGGGAGGAGGAGGAGAAGGAGGAGCGAGGCAAAACGAGGAGTAGAAAGGAGGAAAGAGGGAGGAGGAGGAGGAGGAACGAGGAATAACGAAGATGAGCAAGCAGGAAAGAGCGAGGAGGAGAAGGAGGAGGAGGAGGAGGAGGAACGAGGAGGAACGACCGAGGAGGAACGAACGGGGAGGAGGAGAGAGGAGGCTCGCTCGCTCAACGATGGGATGGGCCAATGCCGCTCTCAGCGGAAGAGCCACGAGGGAGGAACAGGAGGATCGCAGGCCTAGAGGTTGACACCAACACCAATATCGGCGGGTTCCTCCACCGTGGGAAGAGGATCCCGATCTCGGTGATGGTAGAAATATTTTGGCTGCCAAGGTGACCGAAATATTACCACCAACACCGAAATCTAGGATCATCTTCCCCCTGTGGAGGCAACCCCCTGCGTTGGTGCTGGTCCCCATTTCCAGGCCTGTAAGAGTAGGAGTAGGAGGTCCTCCCTCCTCCCCGTCCTGCTCCTCCCTCCTGTTGTCTCTTCTTCATCTCCTCCCGCGCCCTGCCTCCCAGAACCCCCACTGGAAGCAATGTGGCAGGCCCGTGCGTCGCCGAGAAAAGCAAAAACAAGAGCAAAACAAAAAGTGGTAGGTTCGTGCAGTGTCGATGCGGCGGCGACCCTGGCGCGTGTGTGCAAGGTTGAACGCCGCCAGCGGCCCAGAATCAGGCGAAATCGGACGGTCTTCGCCTGTCGGCGAACGTTCGAGATTGAGCGATCCACGCGAGCCAGGAGGCTCCGCCCCTCCTTTTCGTCCTTCTAGCCCCACGCCCCTCCAGTGGACGAGAAACAGCATGCGCATCAGTGCGGTCATAGGGTGGCGCTCGAGTTCGACAATCGAGGTTCGAATCGGTTGTTCAATGTGGTTCGAATTGGTTGTTGTATGTTTTCGGCCTCGGGGGAGCCCTTTTCTGGCCGAGGGGCCATCAGAATTCGATATGGGGTGTAGTCGTTTCAGCTTCGGGGGAAGTACGCTCGCAGTTCGCTATGTCAATATTGTTTTCGCCCGCCTGGGTAAGCAGTTGTTGGCGACCACCCTGCCGACTCCATGTCCGTTTCCTTCTCCTCCTCCTCCTCCTCCTCCTCCTCCTCCTCCTTCCCCTGAGACGCTGAGACGCTGAGACGTTGACGGCAATGGTGTTCTCCGAGCGCTGCCGCTTCCCCCAGGAAGGTCCGGTCGGGCCCCCCTGGAGTAGACCAAAACAGAAAATGTGGGGCCGAGGTCCCACAGTACAGGAAGAACGGAAGAAGGAGGGGACTGATCATCATCACATCTCATCTCATTACGTCAGGAGGAAGGAACAGGAGAGGGTAGGACGTGGCAGCGTGGCACCTTGTGGCGCGGGTAGGGCCCCGTGGGGGCCTTGCGTGGGTCCCCCCTCTTTCGCGTCGCATGGCTTTACTGGGCCACCGCCCTAGAGGGTGCCCAGGGTCCCCCCCGCAGAGGCGCCCCATTTTTCAGAGGACAAGCGAAGGCGACAGGCTGTCCTGGCAGGGAGGTTGGAGGGTTAGGACAAGGCAGTGATGTCCGCTCCCCGTGGGTAGGCCTGGGGTCGCAAAGCCAAGGACTGGGGGGTTGGAGAGGCTGAACACGCGGTGCTCGAAAGTGGCACGTCTGTCGAAACGAGGTTGAGGTGGGTGGAGTGGTGCGACAGTGGCAACAAATGGCGCGCGGTGGCAAGACCGTTCCGCGGGGCCCCTCTGCCGCTTGCTGCAGATGCTGGACCACCAACGCGCCAGCGTCTGCCCAGTACGACCCGCGGTGCGCGGCGGCCACCTAGTGGAGCAGCCGCTGGACCATCGCCACGGAAGGCACCAGCCACAGATGCGGCCACACCGGCGCCACGCCGACAAGCAGGCAACCCAGAACGAACCGAAGTCAGGCCTGTTGTTCTTATCCGCGTGCGGCAGCGCCGCCAGCGCGAGGGCGCCCAGCAGCAGGTCCAAAACCGACAACGAGTCGGCGTCCGATTGGTACGAGCCGCGGTGCGCGACGACCGCCAGGTAGAGGAGCCAGCCGGCAGCGCCCTAGCCCACAGGCGGGCACCACGGCGCTATCCACCGCGGCCACCAGCAGGAGATGGACAAGGAGGCCTTCTCACTCTAGGCCCCCGACCAGCGGGAACCGTGGCCGACCTACGCAGACGCTGTCAAAGCTAACCGGCCCGACCAGCACGACCCACCCATGGCGAATCAGGAGACCCCCCCCTCTGATCGCCCACAACACGAGGCAATCCTCGCGATCGGACTGGCCTGACGGCGGCCAATCCGCGCGCTATGTCTTCACCCACCTACTTCGCGCTTACGCCACGGCAGACAGGACCGCCAGCGGCGACCTACCCATTCCAATCTCCGCACTACTCTTCTACCGACACGCACGCACTCACCGCGCGACAGAAGCAGAAAGAGCGGCGGCATGGGATCCTAGCCTACATGCGGCAGTACCCTCCAGCGCGAGCACCAGTGGCCGTGGCAGCACAATACGGCGCGAACATCAGCGGCGATTGCGATCACTCTCACGCGATCACAAGTGAGCAACAGGTCCCCACCAACTTCCAACGATCCCCCCCCCCTGGCCCACCTGCTCGCAGCCCCCCCACCGCGCTCGACCAACTTCCTCTACGCCCTCCTCTCGGGGTTGAGAATGGGCGGGGCTGCGTCAGAAGGGGGTAGGAAGGGGGCTAACCGACGGCCGCCCTGGCGAGGGCCAGGGCGGCCGCGGCGCCAGCTACAAACTACGCCGTCAGAGGGCCCCGCGGCTTCGAGGGGGATTTCAGCGAGCATGGGCATCGACCTTCTGCGCGCCCATGCGCAGCCTTCCTCTCATGGAAGATTTCGATCTTCGGACAATATAAAACATCTGCTGCTGACGGCGAGCGCGGCATGCGCGAGGCCGAAACTGGGCCGTTCTTCGACCGACATGGCATCGCGGTCAGAGTCCGAGGCCCCTGCCCAGCAACCCCGAATCATGGGGCGACGCGGCGGCGCCCCGCGACGCGGCACGCACTGCGTCGACGAAGAGATGGCGCCAAGGACTGCGAGTTTGCATGCCCGACCCCCCCACCGAGGCCGCGCCCGCAGGCATCGCTTTCATATCTCGCGGAGGGGCAACACCTTACAACGCCAGGGTAATACGACAGGCGCGGGCGTTGCCGGACACGCTGGCTCTGCCAGACGGCACAGAGTAGCACGCAACTCACACGAGTCGCGAGAAATTGCCTCACAAAGAATCGCGGAGGCCCTGAGAACACACCAGTCCCAGGACAGACCCTAGACTCCAAGCCAGGCGAGCTGCTTGACTCCCACTGGGCTCCATCCACCGTGGACGCGAGCGGGCGGAGCGGCCCAGCCGCAGTTCTCAGCACGAACGCGCAACATGGCATTCTTGCCGTCAGCTACCGAGGCACCGAACAACTATGTCGCCCCGGAGACGCACGACGAGCCACGCATGGACTTGCAGGGGCTGGCACACGGCATTCCAGGTCAACCCACGACGCCCCGCGGTCAGGCATGGATGGTGGTGGAGCACTATATCAGTAGCCTAGCTTTGGAGACGCTTCAACGTTTCGGCCTTGCCAACACAGGCGCGGTCACCGCCGCCATTCCGACCCGACGCCAAGCGGCGCTCGGTCTCGAATACCTTGCCCGGGACGCGTAGAAACTCGCCAGTGCAACGGCCATCCAAGCGGGCCGCAGCCTGGACCGCATCGCGACCGAAGAAAGTCGCGATGGATCATTCCTGGCTTGGCGAGGACCAGGCCACCGCGAAGTAGAGACAAGGCGGGGCTCCGAAGATGGTGGGTTGAGCCTCGTTGATCTCCTCGGCCCAGACCGCAGATGTGCCATGTCCAGCTTACACTGGGCGGCGTAGTTGAACGCTGCCCCGGGCCCAAGATTAGCCCCAGGGGGCGGGCGCCAGGGGAAGCAGCGCCGACCCTTCGGAAGCCAGCGCGCGCTCGGACCACTCCGTTCACGAAGACGGGAGGCCGACCGCCATCGACGAGGCGCACGACCAGCAGAGCCACGCATGACGCGCCGTCAGCAGTTTCAGTCACGACTGACGAAATTGGAGACCGAACCTGAACCAGCCTCTTCAAATCCACTACCACGCCCCTTTCTCTAAAGAGGCTGGTCAGCACCATCGCAATTGCACCATGGACGCTGAACCTCGCCCCACTGCGGGCGCCAAGGAGATCGACAAGAACGGAAATTCCCACGTGGAGACGTTCGCCCTGGACGACACGCGCAGGGTGATTCTCGGCCGCTCGGCCCCAGACGAACAGCGCGCGCGCCCCCGGGCCTGCGGGGCACGGCCCGGGAAAAGTAGGGAAAAGTAGCGCGGCGCGACGGCGAGCCCGGGGGGGGGGGCGAGCAGGGGCGGGCCTCCTCGGGGGGCCCGGAAGTTCCCCGACCCGCCGGGATGAATCCACAGCTAGCTGCAACGATTTCTCAGATGGCGCGAGGGCTGCTGAGAATCCCCGCCGCTTTCTGAGAGGCCCCCCCCCCGCTCGCCGCCGACGCCCGCCCCCGAGCAGTTCCGAGGGCGCGCAGCAGTCGTTTCAGCCGCCGCGCTCGAATAGCCCCAAGCACGGGCACACCCAGCTGCTTCCCACCTCACGGCGCCCGCGCGGAGGAGCGCGACGCATCCTCGACTGCAGGTGCACAGGCAAGCGGCAATGGACACGAAGCAAGAAGACCCTCCGCAGAAGGCGCGGATCTTCCGCGCGGGGCTGACACCCCGAGGCTTCAAGGACGACGGCGCTGATCACATCGCCACATGCGCCAGCGCGCCCTCGCGACTTTCGCAGCGGGCGACCGACTCCGAGTCGGCCTGCTGAGGATGGACGATCGACCAGGGGGTTCGAAGGAGCCCTCCCGATAGGAGTCAGCCACCAGGAACTCGCGGAAGCCGCCGGGGGGGAGGGGCGCGATGTTAAAACCGAGCGATCCCCCGATGATGGCGCAGTCTTGCGCGAAGTAGAAGGGCGCGAAAATGCCGGCGTGGCCCTCGGGGTCCTCCACGGAGAAACCAGGCGCCAGGTGCAGAGATACACCGAGATGTCGGAGGAGGAGGAGGAGGAAGCGGCGGAGGATGAGGAGCAGCAGGAAGGCGACGACGGCGTCGACGACTACGAGGACGAGGACGAGGTTGATGATGTTGATGACGACGACGACGACGATGATGATGATGATGGTGATGGCGACGACGACGACGGAGATGATGCTGATGATGATGATGCTGATGATGATGATGAGGATGGTGCTGGTGGCGTTGGTGGCGACGATGAGCGCGGGGGGGGGCCCTGTAGGAGTGGGGCGGGGGGGGCCCTGTGGGAGTGGAGGGGTTCTCACGCCCCCCCTTTCAGGCTGCGTTGGGTTCGACCCCTGATCGGGGCGGAGCGCGCCGATGACCCTGCCAGCCCCCGTGGGCCCCCGAAATGGATACCGCTCAAGGATGAACGCCCCGCCGCGCGGTGCCAGCAACCAATGCGTGCACCGTCATGGCAGGAACCTGAGTCCCGATTCCCTCGCGCTCTACATCGTCGTCGTCGTCGCCCTCCGTTTCCCCCTCCTCATCCTCCTCCTATTCCTGCTCCTCTCTCATCCCCCTACTGTTGGCCCAAAGGTTGATATGGCGACCGAGGCCGCGCACGCGCCTCAGGGGCGCGCGCTCCAGCTTTTCCCCTCGCGCTTCTTTCCTCGATGGCGGCCGGGGTTTCCCTTGGCCTCTCCGATCGCGCCGTCGATGATGCAAGGCAGTTCGTCGGCGCCTTTGGTCCGCGAGCTTCCTTCGCGGTGAGGTTCGTGAGTCAACGCAAAAAGAGCGGTCAGAAATTGCCGGCTTTGTCGGCGGCTCAGCTCACGGAGCAATTGCCGGGCCTGATTCTCAGATCCCACACGGGGATGCTGCACTTGTTCGTCAGGCCGCACGGAGGCAACATCATCATGCTCGACGCCGACGTGGACGTCGCCCCCGATGGTCACGCGGAGTGCTGGCGACGGTGCCCGCTGTCGTCGTGGCCACCAGCGGCTGGGAAAGCCCGAACCGCCAGTGCTGGCGCGCGACGGGCCACGCTCTGCGGGGCGGGGAGGGTCGGAACGTCGCGCTCACATTGCACCGCATGTTGGGCACAGGCACGAATTCCACTGCAGAGGGGCAGCTGGGTCGCGCGCCAGGCTCTCTCACCGCGAAGCCACACAAGCAATGCACAGCTCAGTTTGCATCCGTGTCGCGGGCGTTCTTCAATTCTTCCCGCTTCCACTCCCTGACTGCCAGACAGGCGCCACGCGTGACCGTCGACAGAGCGGGCGCGGCGCCCGCGCATATGCTCCGCGCGCCCGCCCCCTACAAGGCGTCTTCTGTGGGGCGCGACGACAGCAGTTAGATTGGAAAGCCTGCTGCGAATTCTGGGAGTCTTCGCCGGACGCTCCCCCGCAGGATTGCAGTTCGGCCGCGCCTTGGCGAAAAACCACGGCGCGGGGGGGCTACAGGGAGACCGTCGCCAGGAAAGCCAGGGACAGGGCGCTCGGAATGGCACCCGCAGCAAAGGCAGACCCGCCGCCGCGGCGTGCCCCAGCGCCCGCGGCCGACCCGCAGCCAGACGCCGGCCGCGCGCGCCCGTCGCCAGGTGGACCGCCGATGCCGGCAGAATCCGCCCCGCGCTTGCTGCTGAGCGGCGGCGCCGCCGGCGGCCCCCCCGCTGCTGGCCGCCCCCGCGCCAGCGGCCGAGCTGCTCCGAGGCTCGGCCCCCGCGCGACAGGCAGCTGCGCCCGCGCAGGCGGCGCCGCCGCCATTCGCAGCCCCCGCCCCCCAGCCGCCGGAATACTCGGGCGTCGCGCGGGTAGCGGCTGCCCCCGCGCTGATGGCGCCGCCACGGCTCGCGGCCTTCGCGCCCGCTCCGAACGGGCACTCGGGGCACGCGCGGGGCGCGCCCGACCGCGCGCCTCCAACTCCGCCGACGGCTGCAGCGCCCGCGGCCGAACCGCCCCGCCTCTGGTCCCAGCCCATGATTTCGGCCGACCTGGGAGACATCAGTTCGTCTCCGTCTCCGCATGGAAAAGGCCCTCCGCCCCAGCAGCGCACGTCGGGCCTGGCGGCGACAACGCCGCGGGCGAGGGCGCGGAGCAGGAGAGCGACAAAGACGCGCTCACGCGCACGGAATTCGGCAACGGCATGACGAAGGATCATTCCTCTGAGACCCAGCTCAGGTACAGAAACAAGAAGTGCGTCGGGTGCGCCGCGCGGGGTCGCAGGGCAAAGGGGACTTGCAGCAACCATCGCCCTGCGGTGGTCAAGGGGCGCCCCCCCTGCAAAAGCGAGATGGGCAAGGAGTCTTTCGTCAGATCCCAGTGGCTGTCCAAAAACGACAACGCTCGCATCTGCAAGGGGCGCACCGCGCCGGGCGGCCCCCCCTTCGGGCCCGCTGACAAGGTGGACCAGGATACGTTTGACTCTCGGCCGGTGGCTTTGCGATTCATACTCACGTCGGCGACCACTTTGTCTTCGGTGGACCTCCGCGCCAACAATGCCGCTCGGATTTTGCACGGCCGCAACACGGCGGCAGGCATTTCATCCGACGGGGGCATGGAGGCGAGCGAGAAGCTTGAGTTTCTCAAGAAGGCGCGCGAGGACCTTCAGCACAGCGAAGGCGCCGACGGACTGCGCTGGGCGCTCGTCGAGGCCATGGGGGGCTGGACGCACTTCGACCTGGACGCCGCGTTCTACGTGGCCCGGTGCGCCACCTGCCGGAGGAGCACTTCTCGCGGCGCCCGCGTCGCAGACGCTCCATTCCACCATCTCCCCGGGAAGCCGGAGGCGTTGAACGCGGTCGGGCTGGACTTGAAGGCCCCCCCCCCTCTGCACGCACATCAGGAGGAGCAGGAGGCGGGGGCGGAGGAGGAGGAGGAGGAAGAAGAAGAAGAAGAAGAAGAAGAAGAGGAGGAGGAGGAGACGGAGGAGGAGGAGGAGCAGGAGGACGAGGAGCGAGAGGAGGAAGGGGGCGTCGACGAAATGGAAGAGGAGGGCGACAACGATAGGGGGGGAGGACGAACGGAGGAGCAGGAACTGGATCCGAAAAATGAACATAGATGAAATGCGGGACGTCTGCTCTCAATCAGGCAATGATGGCCACGGACGAGGGCGCTTCTCGAACGTTGCTGGCGCTCGTAGATTTCTCCGGCGGGAAGATGTGAACCGAGGATTTCGATGCCGCACCTGCGGAGACAGAGGCCGCCAGCATGTCCGGGGTGCAGTCGTTCCTGCTTGACTGGGTGATGTCCGTGGCCAACCACGCCCCGACTGCGCGGTGGCCCGACAACGGAGGGCAATTCAAGTCAGCGATCAATGCGATGGCGGAGAACGCGTTCGGCACGGCCCCCGCTATCATCCCGCCTGGGCACCCTGCTTCCAACGGTCTCACAGAGCAGATGAACGCGGTGCTGGGCCGCTCGGCGAGCAGCCGGGCGAAGCTGCAGTCAGTGACTACTGCGCTGAACAACGCTTGCAGGGGCAGGCACTCGCGCCCCCCGGAAATCCTCCACCGCCTGCCCTTTCCCCGCCGCAGCACGCCCGCGCACCAAGCGGTCCGGGAGCAGATGCAGGCGCAAGGGGCCGCGGGCGCTGAGGTCGATCGCGACGCCTTCCTGGTTGCGCACACCGAGATGGTCGAGAAGGTAGGGGTGGGCGGGATGCCGCAGGAGCTGATTGACGACCACGCTTCTGCAGTCAGCACAATCAGGGACGCCATCTCGTTCAGGCAGCTGCGGATAGACATTGGCAACCGGCTGCAAAAGTCGCGCAACTCATCCAACAAGGGCATGGTGTTGCACGCGGGCGACTTGGTGTGGATCCCGAACAGTCAGGTCACGATCCCTCCCTTTTGTGCTTCACGCCCTTACCCCTTCCTCCTGTAGGTCGGCGCGAAGGACGCCCATGACAAGTGCGAGGACGACTCGTTCGAGATCGCGGGCGTCGCGGGGCAGCTGCTCGAGGGCAGGCGCAGGGGCGCCGGTGCTGGCCAGTCCGAGGGCGCGCCGAGGATCATCCACAGGGACAGCGCTCGCCTGGCCATCGCGGATATAAACGATCCCCAGAGTGATCCCGCAAAGCCGCGATCGCTGTCATCCGGGCAGCGCCCCGGGGCGCTGCCAAAGGTGATCCGCATTCCGGACGACGGGCACTGCCCGTTCAGCGCAGCGGCTTACCGCGCGAAGGGCATCAAGGGCAAGGTGCCCAGCGAGTAGCGGCCGCCCGCCATTGGGAAGGCGCACAGAAAGGAGGTGGCCGCGTGGATCGACGCCCACCGCGCGGTCGACTTGCAAGGCGCGTGCATCGAGGACCCCATGCGGACCGAACTTGAAGACGATTCGAACATCGAGGCGACTTCCGACTGGGCAGAGATTTCGCATTTCATAAGGACTTCTCGGTATTATGGGGGCGGGATGACCATGAGCGATGGAGCAGTTCTACCCGGTGTCCATCACGGCCCACGAGCTCGGCGATCGGGGGTCGCGGGCCACACGCAAGGTCGAACGCGCCCTGGAAGGCGCCACCGGCGCGCACCTGTTGTACAATAACGGGAACCACTACGACCTCTTCCGTTCTGCGCCCCCTGTAAACACGGCCCTCGGCCTCGACATTCCTGGCCCCGTGTCGAAGGCCGCCAAGTCGAGGAAACGGCCCCCTCCATCAGGAAGCGCGCCCGTTGCCAAGAGACGCCGTCTGAAGGGCAAGCAGGCGGTCAAGCCGTCTCGCGGCACGGTGCTTCGGACCGCGGCAGGCATGAGTGGCCCGAACAGCGGTGGGAAGGCGAAGGTCACTCGGGAGTTGCAGCGGCTGGGTTTTCAAGCAGCAGGTTCGCGGAGGGCGCTCAAGAAGCTCTCTGACGAGAAGGCCGTTTGTCCGCCCCAGACCAAGCGCCCGCTGCTTGGCGGCACGAGGGCGTGGAAAGCGCTGAGGGCAGACAAGACTAAGCTTCGTGCAGCGAGGATACCCGGGGCTACGCCATCTGCCGCCTGCCCCTTTTCTTTTTGTATGTTCGGCTGGTTGGTCGGTCGGCGGAATGGGTGGTTGGCTGGTACATATGCCGGCAGTTAATTAGGTGTCGTCACCGTGCCCGAAGCGTGGCTGCCCCGCTCGTGGGGTGGGCGCGTGTTTGGCCTCTGACCAGCGATGCGTATGTTTTGACCTGCGCACATGCTGCGCTTGGGATGGCTGCACGAGACGGGGCGCATTTGGCAAGGCAGGCTTCCATGAGCATTTCGTATATGTTCGGTCTCCTTTCTCTTCCTTCCCTTTCTCTCGTTCCCCTCATCCTCTTATTGTTTGCTCCCTGCTCTTCGTCGCAACGACGACGACAGCGACGACGACGGCGACGACGACGACGACGCCGACGACCCGACCCTGTCAGTTGGGTTCGGGGAATACACAAGGCGCGCGGTGCTCCGCGCTCGCCAGCCGGCCAGTCCGCACCGTCGCCGCATTCGCCTTCGTCGTCGTCGTCGTCGTCGTGGTCGTGGTCGTGCTCGTCGTCGTCGTCGTCGTCGTCGTGGCCGTCGTCGTCGCCGTCGTCGCCGCCGCCGCGGCCGTCGTCGTCGTCGCCGTCGTCGTGGTCGTGGTCGTGGTCGTCGTCGTCCCCGTCCTCGTCCCCGTCGTTGTCGTCATCGGTGTTCCGCGCTCGCCGGCTGGCCGGCCCGCGCCGCCGCCAGCGCCGCCGCCGCCGCCGCCGTCGCCGTCGTCGTCGTCATCGTCGTCGTCGTCGTCGTCGCGGTGGTCGTCGTCGTCGACGCCGTCGGCGTCGTCGTCGTCGTCGTCGTCGTCGCGGTCGCAGGGAGGGGAGTTCAGAAGGGTTGGGGGGAGCCGCGGAGTGCGATGAAGTGGGGAGGAGTCGGGAAGGACCGGGAGGAGTGTTCAGTAGAGCGATGGAGTGGGGAGGAGTCGGGATGAGTGCCGAGGAGGGCCGAAAAGTGCGATGGAGCGGGGAGGAGTCGGGAGGAGCGGTGAAGAGTGCCGAGGAGTGCGACGGAGAGGGGGAGAGTCGGAGAAGGGGGGGGGGCCCAGAAAACCTCCAGGAATTCTGGGTGCTTCCAGAGGTCTCTGGATGTCGTCATCGCCGTTGTAGTCCTCGTCCTCGTCCTCGCCCATGTCGTGCTCGTAATCGTCGCCGTCGTCGTCGTCGTCGTCAGCGTCGTTGTCGCGGTGAGGAATGCGATGGAGTGGGGATGAGTCGGGAAGGGTGCCGAGGAGGGCGATGGAGTGGGGAGGAGTCTGGGGTAACTGGGAGGAGAGCCGCGAAGTGCGATGGATTGGGGAGGAGCTTGGAGGAGCGGGGGGTAGTGCTGAGGATTGCGATGGAGTGGGGAGGAGGCGGGAAGAGTGCCGAGGAGGGCCGAAGACTGCGATGGAGTGGGGAAGAGTCGGGAGGAGCGGTGAGGATCGCCGAAGAGTGCGACGGAGTGGGGAGGAGTTGGAGGAGGGGTGGGGAGCCCCAGGGAGACCTCCGGGGGATTGCGGAAAGCCGGCCCCATACTTCCGGGAAGCTCCGAGAACGTCCGGCCCCCCACTTCCAGGAAGCTTGGGCTGCGGGGGCCTCCTGGGATCTCTGGATGTCGTCGTCGCCGACGCCGCCGTTGCCGACCCCGCCGCCGACGCCGCCGCTGGACGCTCGCACGCGCTGCCCGGGGGCTGCCCCGCGCTCTGGCCATCCCAGGGGGGTTCGCACCGGGACGCACCGGCCCCGCGGGGTTTCGTGCATCCAGGGGGGTTTCGCACCGGCCTGCACCGGCGGTGCGGCCAGCACGAAACCCCCAGGACGAGCGATTTTTGGGGGTGGGGTTCGCTCAGCACCGGGCACCGCCGACATATATATATATATATGTGTATATACACACATATATATATATATATATATAACATATATATATATATAATATATATATATATATATATATATGCATATGCATGCATATGCATATGCATATGCATATACATATACATATACGTATACATACATATAAATACATATTCCTAGGCAATGCGTACACACACACATATATATATATATACAGATATACATAATATACATACACATACATACAACATACATACATACGTACGTACGTACGTACATATATACAATCACATACATACATACATACATACATACATACATGCATACATACATACATACATTCATACATACATACATATATACGTACATACATATATATATATACACATACATACATACATACATTATATATAGCTATATCAATATAAAATAAAATGATCAAATATATATATATATATATATATATATATATATATATTATATATATATAAAAAAAAGAAAAAAGTTTCACGGGCGCTTGCCTTGGGAACATTCGGCGGCGCGTTTCAAACAGGGGGGTGGCCCCCCCCAGCACTCGGCTCCGTCGATCAAAACCAAGGGGACTCCCTCTTCCCCAAACCCTCCCCTTCCCGAACCCCCCCCCTCCCCAAGTGGGGGGGGGGGTTCAACCCCCCCCCCTCGGCGCCGGCGCCGGCGCTGGCGGCCGCCAGCAGCGCCCACGGCGGGGACGCAGCGACGATGACCAGAGGCAGCCCAGGGGGGGGTGGGGGTTCAAACGGGGGGGGGGATCAAAACCCCCCTCCCCTCCCCCCCCCCTCGGCGCCGGCGCTGGCGCCGGCCAGCAGCGCCGGCGCTGGCGCCGGCGACGGCGGGGACGCAGCGACGATTACCACCAACACTACCACCAGCACCACCGCCTCAACCCACCACCACCACCACCACCAACAACAGCACCACACAACCACCACCACCACCACAGCCACCACCACCACCACAACCACAACCACAACTCACCATCACCACCACCACCACAAAAACCCACCACTACCACCACCACTACCACCACAACCACAATCTACCACACCACCACCACCACCACCGCCGCAACCACCACCAGTACTAGCAGCACAACCCACCGCCACCACCACAAACCGCCACACCACCACCACCACCACCACCGCCACCACCACCACCACCACCACCACCACCACAACAAACGTCCACAAACCACCGCCACCACCACAACCCACCACCCACAAACCACCACCACACCACCACCACACCACAACCACCACCACCACCACAACTCACCATCACCACCACCACCAGAAAAATCCACCAGTACCACCACCACCACCGCAATCTACCACACCACCACCACCACCACCACCGCCACAACCACCACCACCACTACCAGCAGCACAACCCACCGCCACCACCACAAACCACCACACCACCACCACAACCTCAACCACCACCACCGCCACCACCACCACCACAACCCACCACCACCGCCACGACCGTCGTCCTCGTGGACGTTCCCCGCCACCACTGCCCGCCGCCGCAGGCGCCAGCGCCAACCCAGAAATGGAAATCGTCGTCCCCGCCGCCGTCGTCAGCCGCCGCCGACGCAAGCGCAGCACCGGCCCGAGGAGAGGGGAAACAGGAGAGGGAGGGGGGGTGGTTCGAAACCCCCCCCCACCTCCGTCACGGGGGGGGGGGGAGAAGAGGGGGGAGGGGGCTTCGAACCTCCCCCCCCCTCCATCCAGTCGGGGGGGGGTCCAGTTCCAAACACCCCTTCCCCTCCAAGCGACCACGGAACGCGCTCTTTCATACCTACATACATGCATGCATACATACATGTGTACATGCATACATGCATGCATAAACCCACGAATATGTACCTGCTGACATGTATACGTACCTGCACTCATACACCCGTACACATATACACGCACGCACATACATACGTGCGTGCACGCAGGCCTGCATTCAGATATACGGACATATATATGTATAACAAACATACAGACAGACAGACATACATGCATCAATGCAGACATACATACATGCATGCATGTATGCACACATACACGCATGAGTGCCTTCATAAATGCATACATGCATACATACAGACATGCAAACATACATATATGTAAGTATATGTGTTAACATACATACACGCATGCATACAAATCAGAGTACGTGCGTACATACATTCATACATATATACACACGCATACAAATGTATGTGTAGATACATGAACACATACATACATGCAAGCGTACATACATATATACCCACGGCCGTTGGCCAGGCCACCGGCGGTACGTGGGGGAGTGTTTCCATCAAGGTGGGGCCGCTGTTTCACCGGGATTCTTGAGCGTTTGAAAGTTTGGACAGTTCCATGAAGGTGGAGCCCTCCACATCGGCGGCGAGATTCGAATCCTTCCCTCGCCGATCAACGATTCGGGCAACTCGATGGGCGGCGGGAGACGGGTTGGGAATTCGTAATCGAACACGTGGCGAAGTCTGAACCTTACCTCGGATTCCCATCAGTTCAGGAGGATATATGGTCGGTGGCGGTGAAGTTCGGATGTCGCCACCTGGCAGGAGGAGGAGGAGGAGGAGGAGGAGGAGGTGGAGGTGGAGTTGGAGGAGGAGGTGCCGACCCGGAGCGCTCTGGAGTGCTCTCGCGGGGCGCGCAAGAGCGCTCCGAAACGGCCCAGGCGCCCGACACGCCATCCAAGCCCGCAGGCTCTCAGGCATTCCCGAGCTCATCTCAGGGGGCGAACAGCGGTACGACTTATAGTGGTTCGCCATCGGGCGCACCTATTCCAAACTCGGCGGCGAGCCCAGGAGGGAAGTGACCAGGGGGCAGGGCCTTCTCAGAAGGCGGCGGGGCTTCTCAGAGGCCCTCTGGCCTTCTGAGAAGTCGTTTCTGGCTTCGGAGAAGGCTTAAAATATTTCTCAGAAGGCGCGAGGGCCTCTAAGAACCCCCGCCGCCTTCTGAGAAGGCCCCGCCCCCTGTCACTTCCCCCCTGGGGCTCGCCGCCAGCCGCGGAAAAGCTGTCGTTGACACCGTCAATCGACTGCTAATTAACCCCACCCGAGCTTACGGTAGGTTCGCGTCGTGCCGATTTGTGGCGACCCGCCGCCCGCGTTCAACGTTGAACGCCGCCGGCGCCCCAGAGTCGGTCGATGTTGAACGATTCGACGTTTCAGGAAATGGCCGATCGTTCAAGGTTGAACGATCCCTGCGGTGTCAGGAACCAATGCTGAAGTGGGCACGAGACGAGCCTGCCGTAGACGCCCTCGGCCGAGGTTAGGGAAAGTAGTCAAGAATTAAGACGAAGCCGCCCGAAAGAGCAGCCTCGTGGCCACTCCGTCCTTCGCCCGCTCGACCCGAGCTTAGCCTCGTCCTGCCTTTGTCGCGCGGCCGACCTCTGACAGCCGCGGCCGCCTCGTCCGTCCCGCTGGGCAGCGGTAGGCCGTGCCGCTCTACGTGATCGCGGGCCTGCAGCTCCAGTAGCGGCCCCGACGGGCGCGGCGCCGCCTCGTATGTTTTTAAATATGTCGCAGAAGGAAAAAACACAAACGTATGTTTTCGAAGGTCCGCGCGGATTTATCGGATCTGAGCTGGGCTCTGCCTGGCGCCGCCTTCGGCGCCGCCCCTGGCGCGCCCAACGCGCCAGGGAGGGGGCCCAGCGCCGATCAAAGAAGTCCGCGCAGACCAAAAAATTGCGTTTACGTCGTTTTGTCTCTAATCTCGCGCGCTTTCGAGGCTCACTAGCCGATAATCGTTCTATGTGCACTGGCATCGGGGGACAGGCCGAACTTGGCCTTTGGAGTCTTGTTGGTGATGTGTACTTCCCCTCTCTGTGCATTCGGTCTGCTTGCTCAATTCATATCTGCGTGCCAGGCTGCCCGAAGTGGCTCCTGACTTTGTGTATAGAAGCCAAGGGGCGCTAGATGTCTCCCTCAGCCGCAAAGCTAGCACGACGCTCGTCTCGAAAGGACGAGGTTGTCCTCAGAAACGGGGGGGGGAACAGTAGCAGCAGTGGGAGGGGAGGAGGAGGAGGAGAAGGAGGAGGAGGAGGAGGAGGAGGTGGAGGTGGAGGTGGAGGAGGACGATGAAGGAAAGGAGCAGGAGGGGAGCAGGAGGGGGAGAGGAGGGGCACCATGAAGGATACAGGCCTTGGCGGTTTCAGCGTGGTCCAGCTTTCTTTTGCCAAGCGCTGTAAGACAGCGATGTCTGAATCAGCCACACGGTTAATAATCGATTGCATGGCCCCACAGTCAAGCCAGGATCCAGCCATGTTCCCCACAGTTAGAATCAAACACATTGCACCTCAAGAATTAGTTTGCCAGAATTATTCGCCAAGGGGTGATCAATCACAGGTTGCCCAAACAACAGATCATGTACCCTCTCCCCAGGAAAAAATCTGTTGCAGGCCCCAACGGACAATATGAGCAACGCTGGCGCCCAACGAGCTCAGCAGGAAGTCATGATTGATAAGTTGATGAGCTGCTGGCAGTATTGTGATGTTGCTAGTTGCCAACTCCGCACTGAAAAACTCAGCTGCCCAGCTGCTGAGACCTTGTCTTCGCAGCCAAGAGGGGGCCGACGGACGTCGTTGCACCTTTGCTGGCAACATGCATTGGTTCATCAGATGCTAGGAAAGGCGTCCGTCACAGATCAGCGGAAACCAAATAGCTAGAAGGAGCGAGGGGAGATACGAGAGGAGGAGAGGGGGACGAGAGGGGCGACGACGAGGAGGAGGAGGAGGAGGAGGAGGAGGAAAAGGAGGAGGAGTAAGGAGGATGAGGAGGAGTAAGGAGGAGGAGGAGGAGGAGAAGGAACAGGAGGAGGAGGAGGAGGAGTAAGTAGGAGGAGGAGGAGGAGGAGGAGGAGGAAGACGGGGAGGAGGAGGAGGAGGAGGAGGAGGAGGAGGAGGAGATAGGGAGCGAGGAAGGACGACAGGTCCGAAGGATCGACGAGAAGCAGCAAGAGGAGTTGCACTTGAGGAAGGAGGAGGAGAGGCGAGAAGGGAAGAGCGAGGATGAGGTTCAGAAGGAGTGATGGGGCGAGCAGGTGGGAAGAGGAGGATGGCGTCATAGGGTAAGGAAGAGGAGTTAGGGAGAGAGCAAGGAGAGATGACTTCTGTTTTGCCAGTTCTCCGTCAGGAGGGGAGCTTTCGCAGCCCGCTTAAACGGCAAAGCGCGCATTGTTCTCCATGATGATACTCTTGTTCTGATAGTTTCATGTTCAGGTTCAAGCGTGTATGGGAGATGGACTCCTTGTAAGCATGGCTTAGCATGGTGTTGTGCCGTCAGCTATGGCTCAGAAGGGGGGACAGCCCGGCCGGCCGGGCGCGCGCGTTCGCGGCGGGTGGAGCGGTCCGCTCCTGCGACCGAAGCCAACACAGCTTCGGTAAATGTCAACAAATGAGGCTGAGGCAAGGCAGGGGTGTGACTAAATCAACTCCCCCCGCGGCTTCCCCGGCAAGCTCCACTCGCACGCGTGGACGTCAACGATTTGTCAACGCCCCAAATTTGCTTATAAAGCGACCAGTCGCGCCGCGCCCGGCAGGCAGCTCACCCGCCACCTGGCTCGCAGCGTTCTGAGACGTCAGCACATAGCACAGTGGTGTCGAGGGGACACCCGCAGCATAGCTGCGAGTTCCCTTCGTTTTCTCCCATTCAGCCCGAACTGTGATCGTCGCGGCTCCAGCTGTTGTAGCCTTGCCAGTCGCCCGAGCTCCAGCCCCAAGACGACCACTAGTTGTCGGCGATCTCTCGCCACGGGGGAGTGGGACCCGCGTTCTCGCGCCACGGCGGGACAAGGCCCGCGCGCTGCCGCGACGTGTCGGAGGTCTCGTGCCATGGCGAGGTGACGCCCGCGCACAGCAAGAAATCTGTCGCGGCTGGCGGCCCCGGCTCCTCGGCGGAGCTCGAAGAGGCATCTCCCGAGCGCGGGTGCGAGTCCCGCCGGGTCGGGCCGTCAGCTCGGCGACGTTGTGATTATTGTTGATCATTTGGCGCACGACCGCTTCGCCTCTCAGCTCCCTCGCCGTCGCTCTCGGCCTCCTAGCCCTCGCCCTCGACGTCGTCCGATGTTCTTGCTGCCGCAGGGCGGCCCTCAGGCCTCATAGAGTCAGGCCTCTTTTCTCCTTTGGCAGACTGCGCTCTAGAGGAGGCACCCACCCTGGCACGGTCAGGCGGCGCCTGACCCCGCGGTTCCCGCGCCGTCGGCCGCGGAGGTCCCAGTAATCCCACCAGTTGCCAGCATTCCGCTATCTATTGTTCCATGGCAGCTTTCATGTGACTGAGCGGCTGGACTTCGGCGCTCCGCGGGGAGTCTCTGCACCATTCGGACCAACCCTTGCTGGATTCTTCGCGACGGCGGTCCCCTGGGGAATCGCAGCCCCAGTCGAACGGCTCAAGAATGGCACGGGCCCCCCCTTTCCAGACCCCCCCGCCGATGCACGGCCACCTTGTCCGCGGAGGAACAACAGCGTAACTGCCAGTAGCGGGCGACTTGAGACGTGCGCTTTGAATTTGAATCCCCCCGTGAGCCAGTTTCTTGGCCTCCTCGTGCTTGCCGGGGCCCCGTTGCTCTGGCAGCTCGTCATCTGGTGACCTTCGTTGCAAGGCAAAGACCGTCGTGATGTTGCCGCGCAACGCGGTCTTGCCCTGCGGGCCATTCTCTCCGCGGGCGCCGATGCCATCTTCAATGGTGTATTTTTATGTGTTCTGCTCGCGCACCTGCGCCCGCCCCGCAGCATAGGCCTATCATTCCCCCCTGTACTTCGCGCCGCAGGGCTGGAGGCATAGCCCCCTTGACCCTCGCGCTTGGTCGGGCCGATATCTCGGAGGTCGACCGGGAGCCTCGAGACGGGGGTCAATGCAAACGGGGGTCAGCCAGAGCGCCCGATCCTGCTGGGCCAGGGTCGCATTGACCCGGGCTTGGGTGCAGGATCTTGCAGGATCCTGCAGGATCCTTCGCATTGACCCGGGCTTGGGCGCAGGATCTTGCAGGAGCTTGCAGGATCTTGCACGCCTGACTGACCGGGGTCTGGATTGACCCGGGTCAGGAGATCCCCGATCGATCTTAGACCAGGCCATGCCGGGGCCAGCGACAACGGTTCCGCAACGAACAGGCGCCCGGCATGCGAGACAGCTCAACGCACCCAACCGGTCGCGGCAACCGCTGCTGCGCAGGAGACGGCCACCATCCCAGCACGGCCACGCAAAGAGCGCGTTCTTCTTCGCAGTAGGAAGCGAGGACAGCATCATCATCAGAACCAGGTATCCGAACGATGACCTGATTCTGTTCGACCCAGCATATGCGCGCCGCGTCGAAGTCAGGGAAAACGTCGAGCGCAGTTCACCGCCGGTCTTAGACCAGGGCCCACGAGATCTAGATCCGCTACACCCCAGACACGGCAAGACGCAGAATATGCTGAATGTCGCCCCACTTAGGCCAGAACGCAGTTGACAAAGAGCCGTCGCGCTGTGTCCAGATGTCCTGACTCTCGAAGACGCGGGGCTCGAAGGTGAGCACTTGGGACCCCGAGAGAGGGCATGGATCTCCCAGATCGAAAACGCTCGCGTCTAGCGTTTGGCCAGCCACTGCGCGCGCCCAGCCTCCAGGTCCAAGCCGCGCTGGCAGTTGCCCATGCATTTCGCCGCATTGGCCCCCCCTCGCACTCCGCGCCAGCTGAACTGACCCACCCGACCTCGGCTCTTGTTCTCTGACAGTTACGCCTTCGGGGGTGGGGCACGGACCAAGCTTAGTCGGTAGGCATGTACAGACGCCGAACTGGCGCGCGCCCTGGAGGCCCCTTCGCCGCGCCACAACGCGCCCGGCCATAGGCCTTCGCACCGAGGCATCGCCCAGTGGGATGACGACTGCTCGGTGGGAGGGCCTCGCTGCCACGTCGCACTTGATACATATTCGCTTGGAGTCCACAATCGGACAGAGTGACCCTTGCAAGCGCGGCGCAGTAGGGGCGCTCGCCATGGGCTTCACGGCGGGCGCGCCCCCGACGACATAGTCATCCTTAGGTGGTTTGCACCCGAAAATGTTGCCCCGGCCCTCTGGCTCAGCCGCGGGGCCAATTTCGGCTCACGCCAAGTATCTGAACAGTCTTGTGTGGCATTAGAGCAAGAGCATGCACGAAGCGTGCCCACGCCCTGTCGTAGCCTTCGTCGCCCAGTATCTCGACGATGCCAGTTGCCTCAACCCATCTTCATGGACTGCGAACGCGGGCTGCGCCATGCATCGCCAGGTGGACGATGGGCGAGCCAATGCGCCCAGCTCCTTCCACGTCCAGTTCCGAACACCACGCAGGCGCGCGCAGGTCACCGGCAACGCTCACGGGGATTAGACCAGTCTCGGGTTTCGGGAGACAGCGGGGCTCGACCGCGCTGCAGCCGGCGCGCAGAGACCGACGCACGCTCGCCCCGTCTTCAGGGAGCAGGTGGCGCGATAATTTCCATGGCGCATCACCCACCAGGTCACGGGAC